AAAAATAACTGAAAATAATCACTTCCTGTAACCATCAGTTTTTTATATCTCTCTACTGGAATTTTGGACTACTCTTCTTTCACCAACTGCTCCAGGTCTCTCAGATTGGAAGGGTTCCTCTTCCCAATTGCTGTTTTGAGATTTCTCCACAGGTGACCTATGGGATTGAGATCTGGACTCATTGCTGGCCAGTTCAGTACTCTCCAGCTCTTTGTCTTAAACCATTTCTGGGTTTTGACTTTTTTTTACATGTGCTTTGGGTCATTGCCCTGCTGTAAGACCCATGACCTCTGACGGAGACCCAACTTTCTAACACTGGGCTCTACATTGCACCCCAGTTTCTTTGGTAGTCTTCAGATTTCATAATGCCATGCACACGGTCAAGACACCCCATGCCTGAAGCAGTAAATCATCCCCAAAACATCTGTGAACCTCTATCATGTTTGACTGTCTTTTCTTTAAAGGCCTCATTTCTTTTTCTTAAAACAGTAAAATGATGGGGTTTACCAAAAGCTGTAATTTTGTTTCGTCTGTCCACAGCACATTCTCCAAAAGGATTTTGGCTTCCTGGAGTAAGTTTTGGCAAACTCCAGTCTGACGTTTTTATGTTTCTGTGTCAGCAGTGGGGTCCTCCTGGGTCTCCAACCATAGCGTCCCTTTTCATTCAGATGGCGATGTATAGTGCGAGTTGATACAGTTGTACCCTGTGCCTGAAGGTCAACTTAAATTTGATCGAGGTTCTTTATCCACCATTCAAACAATCTTTTGCTGCAATCTTTGATCAATTTTTCTCTTTCGTGCACGTCCAGGGCGGTTAGCTACAGCATGAGCTGTAAGCTTCTTGAAAATGTTGCACACAGTGGACACAGGAACATTAAGATCTCTGGAGATGGACTTGTAATCTTGAGATTGTCCATGCTTTTTCACAACTTTTGTTCTCAATCCTCAGACAATTCTTTGCTGCTCTTTCTCTTCTCCATGCTCCATGTGGCACACAGAGACAAACAAAAGAAAGGTTGAGTAAATTTTTCACCATTTTAATTGGTTGCCAGTGTGACTACAAGAGCATCACAAATGTGGAATACAATAATTTCTTAATTTTGAGAAGGTGCCAATAATTTTGTCCAGTCCATTTTTGGAGTCTTGTGTGGAACTTGTCAGATTTGGCTTTTTGTTTCTCCACTTTTTTGTGTCATACCAATACAAACAAAAGAAATAAATATGAGAATGCCTAAAGCTTTGTAATTGCAACAATTTTCTGGGTGAAGTGGTGCATTATCTGACAGAAATGTAGGGGTGCCAATATTTTTGGCCATGACTATATATGCAGATGATTGTGGTATGATCCTCAATGCGCCCTATAAATAAGTGATATCATAACACTGTGAAGCTGTTATTGGATAGGACAAAAGAATAGGAAACAGAAAGGGTAGAAAGAGAAAGAAGAAAGAGAGAAAGAATAATGAGAACATAGAAGAAAGGAAATGGGGGGTGGGGGGGATTCGAATTAAAAAAAAAAAGGGGGGGGTGTCAACCTAAGCTGAGATAAAAGAGTCAAAGCCCATTGACAATCTGAAGTGAGACCACACTGTCCACATAAGTTTGAATGATTCCGATTTATTCTCATCCCAAACGATCATCCATTCCATATACTCAATCCTGTCAACCTCAAAAGTTCATCCCGCTATAGACGGAGCCTCAGTCTGTCACCAATGTCTGGCGATTACAGAACGAGCTGCCATAATAAAGTGCTGCACCAGACTTCTTTTAATTTGCTTATACAAACCTGGCAGCATAAACAATATAGTAATCTTAGGTTCATTTAGAATATAGCTTTCCACTAATGTAGTAAACAAATTGAGAATCTTCTCCCAAAAAAGTAACATTTTTGTGCAAGTTCCCCAAATATGGACCATGGTCCTAGATTCTCCCAAGCATCTCCAGTATATCTCAGGGATAGATGGGTCAATTTTATGCAAAATCGTAGGGCAAAGATACCATCTAGACAGGATTTTGTAATTGAGTTCATGAGCATAAGAAGAGACAGATAATTTGTATGATACAACCTGTATCTTGTCCCAGTCCAGTCCCTCTACCAACATGTTTAATTCCTGCTCCCATTTAGAAAGGAACGGAGGGGGATTTGGACAGGTCTCTCGCAGTAAGATCTGGTATACCTGCGAAAACATGTGTTCAGGTCTAGACAATTGGGATAGGAGAGATTCAAAAGTCGATGAAGATCGTGTCAGGTGATCTGTACAATGCCGCTTACTCAAATAATGTTTCAGTTGAGTGTATTCCAACGATGCTAGTGACGTACTATGACAAGAGGGAAGGATTTGGGAAAGAGGCTTAAGGGTCCGGCCACACAACGTGTGGCGCAGTAGAGGCCCATCCTGGCGACGCCAACACAGGAATCAAGAACACTGTTCCGTGGCAGGGTATGAAGTTAGCCCAAACAATGGGGTCAAAGGGCTTGGCCTAGAAGACACTAGGCCCTTACGTAAGTATCCCCAAGTTTTTAAAGTTGCATGAACCGTAAGGGGTACTAACTCTCTTTTGAGGTCTCTGTCCAGGTTCCAAACACAGCAAGAATGTCAGGCCAGGGGTCAAAAGATCATTCTCCAACTGAGTCCATAAACTTAGTGGATTGACCATGGAACCAGACAATCACATCATCCATGTCTTTATGGACCTTGCTTTGTGCACTGGTGACAGTCATGTTGGAACAGGAAGGGGCCATACCCAAACTGTTCCCATAAAGTTGGGAGCATGAAATTGTCCAAAATGTCTTGGTATGCTGATGCCTTAAGATTTCCCTTCACTGGAACTAAGGGGCCAACCCAACCCCTGAAAAACAACCCCAAACACCATAATCTCCCCTCCACCAAACTGTACACTTGGCACAATACAGTCAGGCAAGTACCATTCTCCTGGCAACTGCCAAACCCAGACACATCCATCTCATTTCCAGACAGAGAAGCATGATTTGTTACTCCAGAGAGCACATCTCCACTGCTCTAGAGTCCAGTGGCGGCATGCTTTACGCCACTGCATCCAACACTTTGCATTGCACTTGGTGATGTAAGGCTTGGATGCAGCTGCTCGGCCATGGAAACCCATTCCATGAAGTTCTCTACACAATGTTGTAGTGCTAATCGGAACGGCACACAAAGTTTGGAGGTCTTTAGCTATTGACTCTGCAGACAGTTGGTGACTTCTGCGCACCTTGTGCTTCAGCAGGCGCTGACCCCGCTCTGTCATTTTATGTGGCCTACCACTTCATGACTGAGTTGTTGTTGTTCCCAGTTGCTTCCACTTTTTTATAATACCACTAACAGTTGACCGTGGAATATTTAGTAACAAGGACATTTCACTGATGGATATATTGTACAGGTGGCAACCTATCATGGTACCACGCTTGAATTCACTGAGCTCCTGAGAGAGACCCATTCTTCCACAAATGTGTCTTCATGTCTAGGTGCTTGATTTTATACACCTGTGGCAATGGAGGTGACTGGAACACCTCAATCCAATGATTTGGAGGGATGGCCCAATACTTTTGGCAATATAGTGTGTGTATATACTGTATATATATCCTGATAACATATGTTCTAAATCTGTGTGTTTTAGTACTTAAGATACTACTATAAGGTCATAAATAATTGTGTATCTAATGCATCTCAACCCAAAATCCAAATGTTTTAGAAAAGCCTAATAAAATAACTATCTACAAAGTAGATACCTCAGGACATTCAAATAATATACTACAATACTGGCACTTGTGTGCTTTAATTGCAGTGTGGGCATCTAAGGGCCTAACATGAATGGTGTCAATTTTAGCTTTCAGGCTTTAAAATAAATGTTTAGGGAATGTCAGCAAAATTTTTTTATTCAGTTGCATACCTAGCATATTTGATACCAAAATATTGTCAGTGATAAATATGAAATAAAACAAGTAATAATAATAATGGTCAGAAAAGAAATACAGACATTGAAAATTGTAGTGGCTATGTATACTGGTGATAGCTGGATAACTACTCTCTTATATTGGCGGTCAGTGTAGAAATGCCCTTCTAAATATGTGGTAATTGTTGTGCCCATTTACATTGGTAGCCATTGTAGTGCCCCTAGCAACATCTTGTGGAACCCATGAATCTGCTGATTTGAGTTTGAGAAAGAATAGCCTAGTAGTTCTCAAACAGGACATTACTGAAAAAAAAACTCCCATCTGTACTATAGAGTAATGTTTGAATGATTCAGATTTAAATACTGTTTTTTTTTTTCTGTATTTTTTGGATGATGACACCATTTGTGCCATTTTACTAGATATACCAGAGTTTATGTTCACTGTAGAGAGAACCGTACGTAGGAGTTGTGGGTTCATATACTTGAACAACGTAATTAAAACAATGATTTTTGATAGACCATTTTCTTTTGTAATTACTGTAGTTATTTAGCTATCAAAAAATAGACAACATTTAGGATTTAGTTGCATACTTGAGAGGCTTTGCTTCTACAACCAGGTAGATCTCCATGCATCTATTGGTTAGCACTTTGTAGGCTAGCTACGACTAAGCCATGGCCTAGACAAAGTCAGTTTAAATAATGAAGGGATGATCTATAGGTATTTACTGTTTTTTTGTGATATTCTTAATTCCAAAATGAAAAAGCACAATGTATTTAAAAGCATTTGCCTTGATTATGGTACCGTTTTGTAGATTACTGTAAATTGCTGAGAACGATAATTAGTAGCTGTCCGTAATTATGTTTTTTTATAAGCATCTAATCAGTACAAGATACAGTAATTAAGAAATAAGCATGCTTACATTTTGTGCATTTTTGTTTGCAAGGCAACAGACATTTTTAAAAAATAATATTAAACTGTAGTGATATTTGTATAAATTTAAAATGCATTATGAGCAAACAAGTTTTTTTTTTTCCACTGTATGGCGCAGGTAACATGCTTTACTTCAAGCAGTCAATGTCAGCTGAGAATAAGGACTCATACATGCTACTGTTGTGATCTATATGACTGCGAAAAAGTATGTAATAGAATTTTATTTTCTGCTGTTGTAGAGCATATGTTGAAAGCTGAACTCCGGGCAAGCGGAGACAGTTGAAATACGTTTATACGAACTGTCTTACTTATTCTGTTTGGGCACTCCTGAAATCCAGGCTACCCTGCCAGATAACATATCCAGCTCCCAGACCTTCCTGCAGTCTATTTAAGTTGAGCAATATAGCCCAGTCTGGAAAATGACCAGTCTCTAATTGGGCAATGAAGGAGCTACAGCATAACTGCACACGTTCCTGAGCCTCTTTAGCAGACTTGTGGGTTGCCATTAATTATTAATGGAACCACCATGTATAGGAAATGCTGTGTGTTTTTGGGTGTGTGAAAACCCCATGGTACTATAGCACCATGCAGTCCCCAGAAGGCTGCATTTCCTGCAGGTACAGCTGCTGTGCTTGCACAAACAAGTACGCAGGGACCTGCACAAGTGTGAACCTAGCATTAGGAAACACGGGGGCTATGCAATGCAACAGAACTTGATTTGTTCATTGCATTGTCTTTCCCATTCCTAATGTACATTTTTTTGAATACATAACTGTATTAAAGTGTTTCTTTTTATATTTGCCTGGAGGTCAGCTTTACAAAGAGTTCCTTGTATTTCTCAATACACTATAAGTTACTTTGATTTGTTTTCAGTTTTAAGACTGTGTATCCATTGGTGCTCAATTCCTGTTTTGGAGACAACTGTAACATGTATCATTTTCCATCCTCTTCTGTCCCAGTGAGGTGGGTCACCAGAACAGAGGGTGAGTTTCTTAGACAGCAGTTAAAACTTGCCAAAGGCTAACCCTTCTCAACTCTATCTAGTACAGGTACAAAAAAGTGTGACTGGAGATACACCTTAAATTTAAATGTAGAAAATACCAGTTGTTTTTTTTAGCACCCTCCTAGTTTAGCTAGGGGGAGCGAGACACTAATGGCTAGTGAGGAGCTGATTAGCAGTTCAGGTGAGTTTGTCAGAGGGGTCAAATTCTGGTCAAGACTGAGAGACTCTGCAGGCCAGCCCATCTTGACTTTCCCCCCTGCTCTGAGACTTTCAGAGGAGGGCCTTGGAGGCAGTGGGTGGATCTGAAGAGTGGTTGGCTGCACTTTTGAGGGACCTTAGCCAATCCCCATTAGAAGGCTCTTGGCAAATGGCTGGTTTCCCTTAAAAGTGTTGGAGCCTGCTCAGTAGCAGGAGTATGGTGGTGGGAGAGGCATGAGAAGCAGGAAGATGTGAGGCTGGAGGAGGAAGACTGCCAGGAGGCCTGGTGGGATGGCACCTGCCTGAGAGCCTGGAGTTGGAAAGGAGGCAAACTCAGGACTCACTGGCCCCCTGAGAGAGGACCACCTGTATGGCAGGGAAGGAGAAGCCCAGCTGATAGGCCTGGTAGCAGCAGCAACTCCACAAGTGATACAGGAGAGGATCTGAGTGAGTACACCTGCGCCCCCTGGGTGGATAGGGGAAGGAGCACTCTGGTAGGAAACCAAAGTGCTCCTCTCTGCTAGTGACTGTGCACCTTATTTAAGGGAACAGGAGCCAGATCCCCTGCTTTTGAAGAAAACCTTCAGATTACTGAGTGAAGAGGAGTTCATCTAGAGTCTGGGGTAGTACAACTGGAGCTGCTGGCTAGCACTCCAACAAAGACTGTGTGTCAGAGAAGCTGTAATTAGGGATGTCCTTGATGTTCGAGTTGAACATGAGTTCGAATTGAACATCAAGTATTTGTGTCTTCTGCAAACACATGAACGGTTAGAGCATTCGATGGGCTGTTCACCCTCCGCGCCCTACAATGCATTGCGCTCTGACAGTGCATTGTGATTGGCTAAAGCTATGCATCTGACCACCAGTGCACTGTGAGAGCCGTGATTGGCCAAAGGCTCAGTGACTTTGGCCAATCATGGCTCATCGGCTAAGTCCACGCCCCACACTATATAAGGTTGCTTACACAGCAGCTTTGTGTAGTGTGTTGGTGTTAGTAAGTGAGGTTAGTTAGTGGTGTGTTAGGAGACAGTGTAGTGTAGTCAGAGGCAGTGTAGTGCGGGGTTGAGAAGAGCAATGTAGTGGTGTCACTGAAGTGTCAGTGTTTTTTACAGCACTTCTGCATCACCACTGTTCCCTTTTTTTTTTCTGTTGCTGCATCAGTACCATTCCCCTTTCTGTGTCTCTGTGTCACAGGTGTTCTTCCTTATGCATAAGCAGTGGTTTCCCTTTTTTTTTTTTGCCCACATTTTTTTTTTTTTGTTTTCCGCAGCAGCACTAAACTAAAACTAGTTATAGCATAATTGCTGTTCCCCCTTCTGCATCACAGGTGTTCCTCCTTCTACTTCAGCAGTGGTTTTTCGGCTTTGTGAATTTTTAAATGTAATTTAAATGTAATTTTCTTGAATTTTTTTTTTTTTTTGCCGCAGCAGCAAAAATATTTTGGGCACAATAACGGTTTCCCCTTTCTGCTTCACAGGTGTTCCTCCATCTGTGTCAGCAGTGGTTCCCTTTTTTTTTTGGATTTCTTAATTTTTTTTACATTTATTTCATTTTAATTTTCTTGTTACAGCAGCAGCAGCCATAATTGCTGTACCCCCTATTTTTCTTTATTAAAAAAAAAGTAATATTGCACCAAGTACAAAAGTATTGCACCCAATTTCCCATCCCACAATCCTACATAAAGAGTTATAAAAATCCCCATCATGTCTGAAAGGGCAACAAGAAGAGGCAGACACTCACAAGCAGCTAAAAGAGGGCAAGCAGCCTCTGTGTCCACAGTGAAAAGTGGTGGTCATGGACATGGTGTATCCTCTGCAGGCAGAGCATGCTTGTCCTTTTTTTCTGGTGCTGGCCATGTTATTGAGTCGTAACATGCAGAAGAGGTGGTGGAGTGGATAACTAAGCCATCCTCCTCCTCCTCTGTCACCCAGGCTCATACTAGTTCACCTTCCACCAAAGCTGCCAAAGCGGCCTATTCCACAGGCTCCTTGACCACAGCTACTCTCTAGCCCCACCATCATGCACAGAGGAGTCACCTGAATTATTCAATTATAGTGTCAGTTACATGCTGCTGGAGGATGCGCAGCAATTTGAATGCTCCGATGTTGGTTCCCAGATTGAGGAAGGAAGTGATGTGAGCCTAAAGAGAGGAGGTACCAATGACGGACAAGGAAAATTCTCCCAGCAGCAGCATACTGCTAAGTTGGCTCCAGTTATGAGGAGAAAGGGGATGATGAGGTCTTTGACAGTACTTGGGTGCCTGAGAGAATAGAGGAGGAAAGTGAGGAGGAGGCACAACTCCAAGGAGGGTAGGATGTCCTCCAGGGGCAGGCGTAAGGGCAGCCACCCTACTGCATCACACGACAGAGCTCCACAGGTGCAGGGCACTGCAGACTCCCTGCCAATATCCAAAAGTTAATTGGTGTAGGTTTTTTCAACCCATGTGCAGCAGACCACAACGTTGCTGTTTGCAGTCTCTGTCTGAAGCAGATCAAACATTGCCAAATGACCAGCCGCTTGGGCACCACAAGCTTGACAATACATGTGATGACCTGCCATGCAGCCCATTGGCAACAGCACCTAAAAGACCCACAACATAAAAAAGTGCAGATTTCTCTTTGCTCCTTGCTGTGGGATCTCTACCTCTACTATGCCTCACGTTGTCTCAACAGCCTCCACTGAGAGGGATGATGGTATGGCAATGGGTGCCACAAGTTCTTACACCCAATCTGCTAGCAGTACACCACGTGTTGATTTCACCAAGCAAATTTCGCTACCCCAGTTGCTGAACTGTAAAAAAAAAAATACTGTCCCACCATCCACATGGTCAGCATCTAAATGCTAGCTTGGCCAAATGGCTAACGTTACAACTGCTACCTTTCCAACTGGTGGATTCTGCCCCTTCTGTAAATTTGCTGAATGTACTGTACAACAGTGGCCACAGTGTTCCAGCTCTGTGCCATCATATGGAAGGCAATGTTTTGATCTCATTGGAAAGGGCAGCCAGCAGCAAGGTCCACTTCCAGCAGGCATGGTCGGGATGAATACATTTCCTTCACGGCACACCAGGTAACTTTGCTGGCAGCTGGGAATGATGCAGGCCAGGGTTTAGTGCTGGAACTTGTTCCGCCACCATGCCTCCAAACAGCTAGTAGTGATTCTGCCACATCTGTCTGCTCCACCCCCTCCTCTTCCTCTATGGCCTCTTCCGCTGAATTGTCCTCTGAACCAGCAGTGTTCCGTAAGACTTCAAGGTGCTATGGAAGCAGTCGGGCTAAAAGATGCCATGCAGTGCTGCAGTTGGTCTGTCTAGGGGACAGGAACAACACTGGGCCAGAAATTCTGTCAGCTCTGCAGGCTCAGAGGTGGTTGACACCACAGCAGCTTGAGCCAGGAATGGTTGTACGCAACAATGGCACCAACCTTCTCTCCGCCCTTCGACAGGGACACTTGACACATATTCCATTCTTGGCACACATCCTGAATTTGGAATGCAGCATTTCTTGAACAGGTACCCAGGCTTACAAGATCTTCTGAGGCAGGACAGAAAGCCTGTGGCCATTTCCAGTGGTCATACAAAGCGAGTTTTCGGCTGGCTGACATTCAGTTTGAATTCAACCTGCCCACCTAACACCTCCTTTGTGACATGCCTACCAGGTGGAACTCAACATTGGCAATGCTACAGCAGCTGCACATTCAGCAGAGAGCCATCAATGAGTACCTGTGTGAGTATGGCACAAGGACAGGTTCAGGGGAGCTTGACTTCTTCTTATAAGCAGCCATGCCAGTGGCTGCTTATAAAGGATGTATGCACTGTCCTGTCACCATTTGAGGAGGCCACAATAATGGTGAGCTGCGACAATGCATGTATCAGTGACACTATCCCTCTAGTCTTCCTGCTGGAGCACACACTGCCTGGAATCATGGACAGGGCACTTGAAGCAGAACAGCGGTAGAAAGACGAGGACTTCCTTTCCTCTCAAGGCCCCCTTTATGCAGATACCATTCCTGCGGGGCTGCAGAACAGACAGAAGGAAGAAGAGGAGGAGGATTGTGGCAGCATGGAAGTAGAGGATAACATATGGCAGTCTTCAAGGGATGGTTTTCAGTTCCCATAAACCCAGCCATGAGTAGTACATGGCTGGGAGGAGGTAGTTTCTGACAGTGTCATCTTCAGTGACCAAGAGGACTCAGAATCTCATGCCTCCTCAAACTTATGCGACATGGGCTCCCTAATTCTGCAACGCTTGCAAAAGGACCCAAGGATTTGTGGTATCAAGGAGAGGGATCATTACTGGTTGACAGCCCTTCTTGATCACATTACAAGGTTAAAGTTGCAGAGCTCATCCTGCTTTCGCAGAGGTAGAGAGGATGAAACATTTTCAGGACGCCTTGAAGAAAAATTTGTGTAACACCTTTCCATACACTGGGAGGTTACCATTTCATGGACAACATGTTTCTGGGGCTTTTTTCAGTCAAAGGAAGAGCGGTGGAGAAGAAGGCTGGCTAATTGATGCCTTTAAACAATTCTTTAATCCTCAGTGCCCAGGGCTGTTCGGTTTAAGCACCCATTGGAAGCATCTGGATCATATGGTGCAGGATGATCTACGGGAAAGTGCAGACTTGAAGACCTTTCCAACTGAGGATCCACTAGGTTACTGGGTCTTGAGAATGGATCACTGGCCAGAACTTGCTCAATATGCAATCGAGCTACTGGCCTGTCCTGCATCCAGCATGCTTTCCAAACAGACATTCAGTGCTGCTGGAGGTTTTGTGATAGATAAAAGAGTGCGTCTGTCCACAGATCCTGTCACCGGCTGACAATTATCGAAATGAATCAGTCCTGGATCAACAGCAGCTATCAAGCCCCTGATGCTGATGTAACTGATTAAATTTGTTAGGGATCTGGGATCCCTTGAAGACTGCCTATGCTCCCTATCCTATTCCTGATTTCTGATTATGCTAGCTTCCAACAATGTTTTTGGCTTAGGGCACAACTAACACCCAAGGCCCAATTTTTTCTGCACCTGTTTGACAGGTGCATGTAATAAAAATTTTTACAATTAACAAAAAAAATTATACATTTTTAACAGCAGGGCCCATTTCTGCGCTCACCAAGAGTACAGTGCCTTGAACAAGTCTTCACAAACCTTGACATTTTCCACATTTTGTCATGTTACAACCAAAAATGTAAATGTATTTTATTGAGAATTTATGTGATAGACCAACACAAAGTGGCACATAATCGTGAAGTGGAAATAATAAATGATTTTCAATATTTTTTACAAATAAATATCTGAAAAGTGTGGCGTGTATTTGTATTCAGCTCCTTGTACTCTGATTCCTGTAACTAAAATCTAGTGGAACCAATTGCCTTCAGAAGTCACCTAATTAGTAAATAGAGTCCACCTGTGTGTAATTTAATCTCAGTATAAATACAGCTGCTCTGTGAAGCCCTCAAAGGTTTGTTAGAGAACATTAGTGAGCAAACAGGATCATGAAGGCCAAGGAACACACCAGGTCAGAGATAATGTTGTGGAGAAGTTTAAAGCAGGGTTAGGTTATAAAAAATATCCCAAGCTTTGAACATCTAAGGGAGCACTGCTCAATCCACCATCCAAAAATGGAAAGAGTATGGCACAACTGCAAACCTACCAAGACGTGGCCGTCCACTTAAATTAACAAGCCAGGTAAGAAGAGCATTAATCAGAGAAGCAGCCAAGTGACCTATGGTAACTCTGGATCAGTGGTTCTTAACCTGGGTTCGATCGAACCCCAGGGGTTCGGTGAGTCAGTCTCGCGGGTTCGGCGGAGGTGAAGACCCACACCCGACTCATATGATTCGTGCAGTAAATATTCATTATTATGTTTTTGTTTTTGCGTGAAAATCATGTTTTAATGGTTTTGTTCTTTGTTCTTAACGGTTTTGTTCATTTTGTGCACCTATGTATAAATATATACCTAAATATAGACCTATGTTTTGAATTTTAAAAAAATCATATTTTATTTTTCCAATTAAGAAGGGTTCGGTGAATGCGCATATGAAACTGGTGGGGTTCAGTACCTCCAACAAGGTTAAGAACCACTGCTCTGGATCTTCCGTTAAAAAAAAACCAGACTGGACGAAAAATGGATGTAAGCAGAAGTAAATGGATGTAAACAGATTAAAAACATATGTAGATAGTTGAAAAAACGGATGTAAACGGATATGAAAACGGAGGTAAAAAGTGAAGTCTTGATCCGTTTAGCTTCCATTTTGAAAAAAAAAAAAAACACACACGACTGAACTGATTCAAAAAACGGAATGCCCACGTGACAGGACCCTAATGCTAAACCTGGAAGTAGCTGAGTGATTTTTTTTTTTGACAGAGCATCGGTCTGCATGTGTCCTAAACAGTAAACATATTACTGTTTCTTTAACAGTTTGCCAAGAGTTCCACTTCAATGTGACTCACTTTTTCTGATTCCAATTTGGATGTGTCTAGGGAGCAATAGTAAAATGAATGAAGGGTGAATGAGACCTATAGATCTTGCAAAAAAAAATTGATTCATGCAGCGAGAGGAGGAGGAGAAGACATGAAAGTACATTTCTACCCCTACATTTTTCTCCATTTGTGCTTGTGTAGAAGAACTGTGATAGCACAACAGTGCAGTATTTTAAATATGAAGTTAAGATCAAGAACACCGGGACATGACCTCAAACTAGCAAGAGGAAAGTTCAACACTATTCTCAGGAGATATTATTTTACAGAAGAGTAGTTGATTTTGGAATAGACGCAGAAGTGTAGTGAGTCAATCAACATGTGGATTCAAACATGGTTGGGGTAAACAGAGTTATACTCGGACAAGAAAAGAAAACACATCTACCTGCTTACGATAGAGCTTGCTGAAGTTGGATGACCAACTTGTGTCAATCTTGCTATAATAAAGCACTATCAATGCAACAATCTTTTCACCATAGTTGTCACTTTCCCATTTGCATTTCCCGTACACAGCCTTTTCTAGTTGGATAAATCACTTTGCTTCACTTTACACATTAGGGTTGATTTATTAAGGGCAAAAGGCTGTTTACTTTGAAAGCGAATTTGCACTTTTAAAGAGAATTTTCCATTAGCTTAGTGAATGCGGTGAAAATTGCATCTCATGTATCTTCAATTAGCTCTATGGCTCAAGAATTTTGCTACGAGCTCTTCTCCCACTGGTACAAAACACCTTCACAATTGGCCAAAATTGTTCCATGAACAGATCATAAATGTTTCAGGGATGCGCCCAGGAAGGCACATATCTACACCTATGGTGGCACTGTCCCAAACTCCAAAAATTCTGCAAATAATTTTCACCCTGGATCCAGAAAACCACACTTAAGCCCATTCAATTTTCCCCTCCACTGTTTGTTCCTTGCCACCTCTTCTTTTCCTCAAGTTATATAAAAACAGTGTTACACCGCACCTTCTGAATGCAGCAAAAAGTCTTACACCAAAATTCCAGAAACAGACCCACTGTCCCACACTTCAAGAATGGAAGCGAGAGGCAGAAAGAGTAATGGAGGTTGGGATATGGATCTGCTAGGGATCAACAAGAAATATAAAATTTTTTGGGTGTACTACTATTTGAAATCTACAAATTCAACCAAAATAACCATTAGCTATAAACTATCTGCCAACATTTTACTAGTAAATCTATAAAATATTATCGACTCAACTTTCACTATAGTGTTCTATATGTATAGATTTATGAACAATCGACAAAACGTATTCCTTTTGTTTTGTTTATTTTATTCTTATATACTTTAAAACACAGTTTTTCAGCTTGCGCATGTTTGGATGATGAAAGTCAGCAAAGCTTCAGCTCATTCACTAAAATGAAAATATTAAAAGAAAATTTTAAATTTGAACTGAAAATTGCAAAGCGAACAGACTATTTGCCTTTAGTAAATCTACCTCATTATGTCCTTGATCATTAGCACCTGTGATATTTACTAAATCAAGCATCAGGCTATATTCCTACAATGATCTTACATTTTATAACTGGAAATCGTCTAATACTAGGTTACCATTGCTGTGTTGGGATATTCAAATATCTTACTGCATTGCTTTACTTGTTGCAAAAGTAATGTTTGGAACTCTGAAATACACTTTACACACTAATCCAGAAGACATAAAATACCCATCTAGTACAAATATTGTTTTACCATATAACATGCCTAAAAGTTTTGTATAGTGCTGTATATAACAAAATTTTATGGCAAGGACCATGGTAAACATTATGGTAGAGGAATATGCTGTTGCTTGTTTTCTTGGATATATTTTTAAAGTTCATTAACATCTCAGAAGTAATCTGACAAGTGTTTTGTATTCTTTTATTTGGCAGTTCAGAACAATCTGGCAGCTACTATGAATTTGTTGGTGTAAACAGTTGCCAGGATGTTGTTCACTTATACCGTCTGCTGTGGACCTGCACTGTCCTGAATATTGTTGGCCTCTTCCTTGGCAGTATCACTGCGGCTGTTCTTGGAGCTTTTAAGGATATGGTAGGATTTGTTTTCTAAGAAATCTGGCTATAAAACTGTACATCAGGGGTCTCCAAACTTTCTAAGCATTCTTGGTATCATTGGGATGAACTGTGCCCCATCGTTGGGTGTCATCGGTGGGAATTGTGCCCCATCGTTGGTAAAACTGGAATTAGTTGGTGTCAGTGATTTTAATAGTGCCCCTGGACCGCAGTTTGGAGACCACTGCTGTACATTGTCCAACTCTGTTTTAAAGTATATGTGGGGCAATACAAATAATAGGGTGTATAATTAAGAATGAGTTTTCCATTGACTATATATAAAGAGATATAATGTTACATTAACCAGAAAATAAACTCTTGATATGTGCACTGACCACATGGTCAACATTGTTCTCCACAAATATCACCCTGCAATCTGTGGGCTCCAAGAGACTCAATTTATGAAAGATAGCTTAAGTTGTCTCCATTACTCTTGGATAGGTCATGCATACCATTCTGTTTGTTCATAATATTGCAGAGGTGTCAGTGTTCTGATATATACTGTAAATCTTTATATTTTCAAGAACTTGCCTATATTGCTGAGGTTGAGGGTAGATATATTTATACATTGCAAACTGTATATTCCTCCTTGCTTATCTACTATGGTGTTAAGTCAAATACTGTCCTTTCTACTAGATAAAACAGATGTACCACTCTTTCTTTTGAGTGACTTCAATGGGTAAATCAACCCCAATCTGGACAAGCACTCAACCGCCCCCTTTCCTCCTCCCTGGTTAAAACAGGCCCTAACTATAAAAGGTATCACACGTTACCATTTTCTTTTGGAAGTGGGCTGGACTGATTTCTGGAGGGATCAACACTCTCATGAATGTCAACTTTCTCTAAAACCTATTCCAGGATAGGCTTATGTATAGAGACTCCCCCTGTCAACTAACCTCTGTTACGCCCCAAGAGGCATTTATGACCATTCTCCATTGATAGCATGAATTTCTGCAAACCATTGATCAATTTGCCTGAAACTCCCTGAAAATTAAATGCATTTTGGCTAAATCTTTTTCCCTCACCTGAAGTGATTGAGAAACAGATGATTTCTTTGCTAATCATGCACAGTTTCCTGATTATTTACTCCTGTGGGACACTTTCAAAGCATTTCTCCTGAGAGTATTTATCTCTAAAATCAGGGCTGTTCAAAATGCCTCTAGGGAACATGAATCACAAATATCTCAACAGGTGCAAAAACCTGAGTAGTAATATATATTCGATCCTACTGTCTCTGCACAGCAGGCTTAGCTTTCCACACAACCAATCTGGTCCGATAGGCCAATTCTTCAGTAGAAATTTTTCTTTTTAATGAGCAGGCATTCTATGAAGAAGGGAAGCAAACAAAATGCTACTTAGCAAAAATTGTTAGGGCTCAGCAAACCTCCCATGCCATTGGTGCATGGGAGGTTTGCTGCGCAAACCCCAGAGGGGAAGCTAGGGTAATGGCAGAACTGGTAAGATTCTATTCCAATATATATACACCTCCAAAACACATTTTTCACCAACTTCATTAACTCAATATACTGTATCTCCTTTCTATAAACTGATGAAAAAATATTGGCAAAGATTTTGGCCTTCTGGCTTAATAAAGTTATTAATATAAAAAAAAGTGCTGTGTATACAATATAGTGCAATTTGTAAATAACAAATAAAACTAGTGAATTTAATTCTATCAATAAAGTCCAGTGAAAGTGAAAAAAGTCCAACAAAGTGCCAAATATGAACAGTATGAAATCTTCAGCAAGTGTCCATATATTCATACACCAATGTGTACCTCCACCAAACACTAAGTGGCTTCTGCTTACCAGAACACTTTGACCTCCTATTATAGAGCAGTAATAATGAGCTTGTTATATGGCCAGGCTTCCACCACAGAGCTGCCCACAATCTCCACTTCAGGTCAGGACTTACGGATCATCCTCCAATACAACAGTGTAGCATAATTAACCATTTTCATACCGGGCACTTTTACCCCCTTCCTGCCCAGGCCATTTTTCAGGTTTCAGCGCTCTCACACTTTGAATGACAATTGCGCGGTCATACAACATTGTACCCAAACTAAAATTTTATCATTTTCTTCACACAACTAGAGCTTTCTTTTGGTGGTATTTAATCACCACTGGGGTTTTTATTTTTTGCTAAATTAACAAAAAAAGGCCGAAAATTTTGAAAAAAAAAAACACGTTTTTCTTTGTTTCTGTTATAAAAGTTTGCAAATAAATTATTGTTCTTCATAAATTTAGGCCAAGATGTATTCTGCTACATGTCTTTGGTGAAAATAACCCAAATTAGGATGTATTTTTTAGTTTGTAGGAAAGTTATAGAGTTCACAAACTATGGGATAGATCTGAATATTGATCAATCCTGAAGTACTGACAGCCAATCTAATATCTTGAGGTCCAAGAATGTCAGGACAGTACAGATATCCCCCAAATGACCCCTTTTTGCAGAGTAGACAGTCTGACGTACTTCATAAGAGGCATGGCGAGTTTTCTGAAGTTGTATTTTTTTGTCATAATTTTTTGGAAAATGAAAAAAAATTATTTTCATTATTTTTTTTTTTTACATACTGTCACCAGTGCAGTACAGCGTCATCATATTACTGGCATGGCGGTGATCAGGGACACTGACTGGTGACAGTATGAAAAAAAAATATATCATTTTTTTATTATTTTAAATTTTTTATTACATTTTTTTTCTTTTTTTTTGCCATTTGTTTTTCATATTTCACTATGACCAAAGTAGTACAATGTTACCATAGTAACATTGTACTACTTTGGGGAAGTGATCAGTATTTTTATTTTATTTTTTCTTTACACAATTTGCTTATAGCAAAGAAATACTTTGCTATAAGCAAGCATTTACCTAAATGACATCGATTCATTCAGGGTTTTTTTTTGCTTAGCTGTAATTTGGCCACAGCTAATCACATGACACAGCTGGGCTGTGATTAGCCCAGCTTGTGCATGTGATCGCTGTGACCAATCACAGCTACACACTCTAGTATACAATGGATGGCATGAATGAAGTCATCCATTGTATACAACTGTCATGTGACCTGTTGTGATTGGTCACAGCAGGTCACATGGTATCGGCAACGGTGCCGGTACTCAGATCTGTCATCGGCTATATCCGAGGTACACGGCCGGTGACAGATCGTGCCGCTGCGCGGCTCTGCAGGCGTGCAAACTGCGCATGCCTGCGAGGATGTCATATGGCGTCCACCCGGAACGCTAATGAATTTTGCACGCCACCATTCGGCCATTGGCCGGGCGGCTAATGGTTAAAAGAAAAACCAGGGGAACTGCATGGTGTAAAACTAGTAAAAATGCTTCTCAGTTATATAAACCAAGTAACATCTTGCCCCAGAAGATGCCATTTGCAGAAAAACGTGTAGGACTGAGTTTAAGTACGTGACATCATCATGCTCTGTTTTTACTGCTTTTTTTTTCTTTTTTTTTTTTTTGAACTATGTAACTTTGCCCAGCATTGGCTTCCTAATGTCCCATGCCAACTACAAGTGAAACTCGAAAAATTAGAATATTGTGCAAAAGTTCATTTATTTCAGTAATGCAACGTAAAAGGTGAAACTAATATATGAGATAGACTCATTACATGCAAAGCAAGATAGTTCAAGCCGTAATTTGATTTGGGGGGGGGGGGGGAGGCAGAGGAGGAAAAGAGAGGGACAAAACAAAGAAGGTGGAGAAAAAGAGAGGTAATCCAGAAGCCGATTATGAAGCTGGCAAGTACCGAATCCATGGGTCCCACACCCTGTCAGATTTCTTAGTGTTATTATGAAGGGTACAGGTGAGTTTGTCATTGACCATTATCCGATTGAGCTTTTGCTTTACATAATCAAATAGTTTAACCAACTGCTGCCAATGCCTAGCTATAGTGATACGTGCTGCCAGGAACATGTAAGTAATACGTTTCACAGATTTCTTTCGAACCTCATCAGGTAGCTTATGAAAAAGGGCTGCTTCTGGTGATCTGCGGATATTTACACCCGTCACTTATTAGATAAAGTTAAATATTCTGATCCAAATTCTAGTCACTATAGGGCAGTGATGGCAAACCCGTGGCACGCGTTCCACAGCCGGCACGCCGAGCCTTATCTGTGGGCACGCCAGGAGAATCCAGCGGCGCGCTGTCTTCCCGGCTGTAGTGTGCGTGACAGCCGGGTCCCAAGTGCGCATGCACAAGAAGCAGTGCTCTTTGTGAATGGTAAGGCGGTACTTGGGACACATGACAGATCCCAGAAGCCGCCGGACCAATCACAAAGCGCAGCGCTTCTCGCGCATGCGCACTGGGCATCCGGCTGTCCGCCCACACTACAGAAGCCGGGGGAAGACAACGCGCGGCTGGATAAAAGGAACAGGTAAGATAAAAAAAAAAAAAACTCTGCGGAAGTAAGAGCGGGTACCTGTCAAATTCAGGTACCCGCTCCCCCTCCCTCCCCAAAGGTCAGCAGTCATCCCTTTGCTGTCCGCAGTCTCTGGTCATCCCTGTACTGTCCGCAGTCTCTGGTCATCCCTGTACTGTCCGCAGTCTCTGGTCATCCCTGTGCTGTCCGCAGTCTCTGGTCATCCCTGTGCTGTCCGCAGTCTCTGGTCATCCCCTGTACTGTCCGCAGTCTCTGGTCACCCCTGTGCTGTCCGCAGTCTCTGGTCATCCCTGTACTGTCCGCAGTCTCTGGTCATCCCTGTGCTGTCCGCAGTCTCTGGTCATCCCTGTGCTGTCCGCAGTCTCTGGTCATCCCCTGTACTGTCCGCAGTCTCTGGTCACCCCTGTGCTGTCCGCAGTCTCTGGTCATCCCTGTGCTGTCCGCAGTCTCTGGTCATCCCCTGTACTGTCCGCAGTCTCTGGTCACCCCTGTGCTGTCCGCAGTCTCTGGTCATCCCTGTGCTGTCCGCAGTCTCTGGTCATCTCCTGTGCTGTCCGCAGTCTCTGGTCATCCCTGTACTGTGTCCGCAG